ACTGGCTCCTCATATGTCCTTGCTCTCCACAGTTCCAACAACCTCTCTGGGTAGCAGCCTTTCCTGCCGAGACATCTTCCCTGTGTTGAAGTTATCACCATTGAACTCTCTTGTGCCCTGGTTTATTACAGTGCCAGCAAAGTCCCTCAAACTTCTCTGAAAGCTGTCCTTTTCTGGCCTTGAATCCTGATGACTGTACCAACCTTGGTATCTCTGTACTGGACTTAACATATCATTCAAATTCAATAGCTCTGGCCATTGCATCCTGCATAGTAGAGGGGTGTGCTTGCTTTACTTGTATCTTCAGCTGTGGACTGTCCAAGGCATCTACAAACTGATCCCTCAGCAACAACTTGAGGACATCGGGTGGTGCAGTTGAGTAGGCCTTGTGTGCCATACTTTCCAAATCCTGTGCCAGCTCTTGCAGGCTCTCCCCTTTAGCACGGGCTCTTGTTCTGTAGACTTCAGCCTGATTTTGGGTTCAATACCTGAGTTCTAGAGCCGACACCAGTGTTCTATAGCTGTTCCTGTCGTCTTCTGACAACTGTCCAAGTATTTCCAGTGGTTGTCCCTTCAAGATCGTTGCCATATATACTGCTTTCTTTCTCCTCTAACCACTGCTGTAGTCTCTCTTCTTGTTTCTTTTCTTGTTCTTCTTGTTTCTTTTCTTTTTCCTCCAACAACTGCTGTAGTCTCTCTTCTTGTTTCTTTTCTTTTTCCTCCAACAACTGCTGTAATCTCTCTTCTTGTTTCTTTTCTCGTTCTTCTTGTTTATTTTCTTGTTCTTCTGGTTACTTTTGCTGTTCTTGTATTGCTGCCATCAAATCTGCTAATCTGTGGTTTGATTTGCCACCTCTCGTTTTCATTCTTTTTTTTTTTACTATCCAACTTCTGACACCAATTTGTTACGTCTCTGGTCGTTAATTTCCCGTATAATTTCTTTCGGATGAAACTTTAGCGATATAAGTCCTTTCTTAAATAAAACTAGTTTATTCATTCTCAATACAACTTTGCAATACACTTAATTTCCACAGTCACTTTAACTTAAACACAGGCTATAATTCACAACGATTTACACACTTTACTTACGGCTTGACTCGATTATCTGTCTCTATCTCCCTGTCTGCTATTCAATTATCTACGCCGTCACTTCTCGCCGGTCTTATATATACAAAATAGTGGGCGTCAGGCAAACACTCGAGCCTTCATGAACGTTCGAGATACTCATTACATGTTACCAGCGTCACGTGACTTCCGCTGCGGTAACAATATATATATATATATATTGTTACTTTGGTACTTAACCGTGAGTAGAAAGATACATTAGCGTTATTAATTTCAAGCGTTTTAAATATTGTTTTGTTTT